TAGCATAACCGAAAATCTATTCAAAAGCCGAAAAGCTACGATTCCGTTCAAGCGATTTGTACAGTGATTAAAAGATGCGCGTTATAGATTCATATTTATTAATATTAGATGAACGGTGAAGAAAGAATTTTATTGGACGGCGGAAAAAATTGTTCTCACACCGTTATTTCAGTTTTTGAAGCTGTAGAAGCCAAAGATTGATTGTGGCAATCAATGTTGTTCGAATCATATTTCATATTGTAGTTGAAATTTTGCTGTTATATTTGTATTATGTCGTATATGTAAATGACACGTAAAGCATGGAATGCCTGCCTGATAAGAACGCAAATATATGATAATTAAAAGCGAACTGATATAGTGAAATTCATGCAAACCATAAAAATTAATATTTTTGTCAATAAAGCGATGATTATTCATTAGCTGTTTCAAATTGAACTCAGCGGTAACGATTACCATCAACTGGCACCACAAGGACAAATCTCTCAAACAGCCGACAAGACGTAATCGGTTGATGACTCAGTTTTCAGTTACGGTTTTATGTTCACTCGAAGATTTGCATGAGTTTGACGCCCTGACTCCGAACGACCGAAATGAACACGCCTGCAACCTCTATCACTTCTGTTCCGGTTTTCCGCCACGTCTACGTTCCATCCCTGTCTCCAACCATTTTCCAGGACTACGCTGCTGTTGGCATCTGAGTTCATTTCTGCCACAGGGAACTCACGGAGTCTCAGGTCTCGTTTTCATCACAGATGATGCTCAGTGGAGCTATATGATGTGTTCTCTGACATGCCTTTTCTCCAGTGCTTGAAAAATGGTTTGTTCAATGCGTTTGGCGTACGTCGAGTGTGTCATCAATGTCGAAAAGAAACAACGGTGTGCAGCGGCAGACTACAGGTTGACAATTCATTCTTTAACTGCTTTGAAAAGCCTTGTGCATCACCTGCTTGTTTCTTTATGTCAGTACAACTCCAGCGGGTTCAAAATTCCCACGGCTGAGTTTCAGGAACTCATAAATATTTCTGCCCCCCCC